TTTTTTTGGTACTGGGGATTGAACTCGGGTCCTTGTGCTTAGGAGACGGTCGGCAGAACCACTGAGCTAAATCCCCAGCCCTATATTGTTATTTCAAAAGAAAATAGAAACTACAACAAAACACCAAAAAAAAATTAAAATTGCACTATATTCAGAGATAAATGCAATGATTTTTTTTGAAAAGAATTTTAGGGTTATTTAGCAAAAGAATTTCAAGATGACTAAATAATCTAAAGGTCTCTTTGCCTAGCAATGCCTAGACATTCTCCTGCCTGACATCAGGACCTTCCTGATCTCTAACCAGAGCCTGTGAGCAGAACCCAACATCGATTATCTTTGAACACAGAAGCTTCCATGTTCTGGAAAATCCCCCAGTGTTTAAGAAGTGCCTGGAAGTCTACTCCGAACAAGTCTCCTGCCAAGAGTCCTGACCTGGGCTGTCTAGCCTCTCCTTGTGGCATCTATTTTTTTCTAAGTCTGGCCTTTTTTTGATTTCAGTATAGGATCCTATGTCTTGAGCTGTGGGTTTTTGGTTTGTTTTGTTTTCATTTTTTTTTTTTAAGACAGGGTCTCGATATGTAGTTCAGGCTGGCCTTGAACTCACTATGGAGCCCAGGCTGGCCTCAAACTCACTGCAATCCTCCTGCCTCAGCCTCTTGAGTGCTGGGATTACAGACATGGGCCACCATACCTGGTTTAAATGTCCATTTTGCTGATACCCTTCGAGTTGCACTTAGTGACTATGTTGGTTGCACTCACTTGCTTTGGGGTTTCTATCACTTGTTACAGAAAGGATCTAATTCAATTAGTAAATTAATAGAACTTGTGAACTAGGGATAGTCTTCATGTGCACTACTGTCCATTTGCTCATTTTCCAGAAGTAGGTAAAACAAAGAGAAGCAGAGTCTTGCCCGAGGGACCCTTGTGAGCTGGGAAGGAAGCTGTCAACAGCTCATTCCCCAAGCCTGACTTATTAGCTCATAGTTCTTGGGATTAATTTACTCATCCCTCATTCATTTTATTGAGCACCTGAAAATACTGGGGTTTGCCCAAGAAATGAACATGAAGATCAGAGACTGGCAAAGACCCTGTCTTCAAGGGCAGACTTACAACAAAGTTGAGGGACAGGCATGAGCCTATCTAGAATGAAGAGCAGCAGCAGAGATGGGCTGGTAGAGGGGGGTCACTGACCCCGGGACTCCATGCTGGGGGAGGGACACTGGAGCAGACTGCATAGGACCCACCTGTTGGCTGTGAGCTGAGTCCTTCCAGAGAGTTCCAAGAAACTGCTGCTAGTCTGCTCAGCTGCCAGCAGCAGGAGGGTCTCGCTGGGTTGGGAGGACCCCGGGAGGCTGCTTTCAGGCTGTGTAGAGAAACGCAAGTCAGAGGGCCAGGCTGTTCTCCTGAGTGCTAGGAGTACAGGAGTGTACCCTATGCCCAGATCCCTGTGCCTTTATACGAAGCAAATCCTGGACCATCTTTATGGGTGTCAAAAATCACCCTAAGGGCTGGAGATGTAGCTCAGAGGTAGAGCATTTGCATAGTATGCATGGGGCCCTGCATCCAATCCCCAGCAATGCAAGAAAAAAAAAAAGGCAAAAGAACTCAACAGGCAACAAAAAAAGCAAAATAAGCTGTAAGTACACAGGTGACAATACACAAAGTCATTAAAAATCAAAGATGCCATCTTTTTACCTATCATATTAAAAAACATTTTAAAAACATAAATACCACTCACGTGATAAGGATACAGTGCCTATGATATAATCTAAAGTAAAAACCCAGCTGTCAGTAATATACACAGTTGTCCCTTGGCAGCACTGGGACTGATTCCAGGACCCCTATCTAGTACCAAACTCTGCTGATGTTCAGTTCCCTTATGTAAGATTGCCAGAGACTCCTGCAGTAAGTCTCTAGTCCCCACCTGCCCAGTGTGCGATGCAAGGTTGAAGAAAAACTTAAGACAGAGTTAAAGAGAAAGTGTGAACTGGGATGGCCAATGCTCCTTTGGCAAAAGGCACTGGCCTGCCTCTTCCAGCGAATTCTATTATTGATCAGTCAGGGTAAAGGTGCATGTATAGAGATGCAGTATGTGAAATTACCATGGAAACTAATGCAGGCAGGGCTTTACAGAGAAGTCAATGCATTTTCAAATTAGAAGCAAGATAGACAAATACATGGTTGTAATTAGAGCATTGTCCTTCAAGCTATGAAGGCACTAATTGTGGGAATGGAATTTGGGTGCGATGTACTCTGACCTCAGCTATGGATGTTACCTCGTATTAGCCCCACAGCTTCATA